ATATTGCGCTTGGGCCGTAAGGGGCCCCTCCCGGAGTCTGGTACCCATTGTGATATGAGATATAGCCCGAGGGGCTGGTATGTTCTATGATATTGCCCGAGGGGCTGATTTTTTTGTTACTGTGTCCGAGGGCCATTTATTATGTGTTTACCTTTTCTTGTTGCATTTCATATATATAAATATTATTTGACTATTAAAAATGTGTTATGAGATTTTCACTGCTTATTTATATTCACTGATTTTGTTAGGCCTCTTATAGCTTAATGTTGTGCCTTACGTGGTTTTATATTACTCAGTCTTCATTTATTTTTATTACTCAATGAGTTGGAGTACTCACTTTACTTCCTTCACCCCTGTGTGCATATTCGGGCGCTATAGATTCTGCTCCTGAGGGTTGATAGTTCTAGCAGGTCTTCGGAGATTTACTAGGTAGGTGCTTGGCGATTCGCAGCCCAGTGCATTCTCCCTCTATCTTAGCTCTTTTTTATTCAGTTATGTAGTATTGGATTAGACTTCAGACTGTTAGTATTGTTTTAGATGCGCATGACTGGTGACACCCCGATATCGGGCTGTGTTGGTTTTTTTTATTCCGCAACTTATACTATTATCTTGGGATTATATTTCTATTAAAGACTTGGTATTTATTATTTTAACTGCTTAAAGAGAATTGGAAGTGTGTCGGCTGGCCTTGTCTTCACGAGAGACGCCATCACGATCGGGTTTGGGTTTAGGATCGTGACATATGTGTTGTTTTCTTATGAATTGTTTAATTACTAAATAAGCTTTTTTTCCTTTTGTAATTGTCATATATAACATGTCAAATAGATAAGAATTACTTTAAAGATGTTTTGACAAAGTTACTTGGATCAATTTAGGCTAAAACTCATCCCAACATAGATGGAATGAGATAGGTTGTGTCTAGATGGGCTAAATTTAACAAATGAACAGGTACAAGTTGGGTGGGTCGTGTTTTTCAAGGCTAATTTTGACACCTTTACTCCCAAGTGTTTTCCAAGCGCCCGCTTAGAGAGTGAAAATAGCACGGCTAGCAGTTTTTGGACTGGTAATTGAAAAATAGCCAGCGTTTGCAAAGTTATTGAAAAATAGCTACTATTTTGCTGCGACACAGAAAGTTCCAACATAATATATTGGAGATTGGAGCACTTGTGTATGAATTTCCAGCATATTATGCTGGAACTCCAGCACACGGAAAGTTCTAGCATAATACTGGAGATTGGAGCACTTGTATATGAACTTCCAGCATATTATGCTGGAACTCCAGTATATTATGCTGGAACTCCAATATATTGTGCTGGAAGTTCACATGTAAAAAATTCGAACTCTAGTATATTATGCTGGAATATTTTTCGGATTTTGAACAGTATTTTCGCTCAGATTTATCTTTACATGAAAAGTGGCTAAATTTCAATTACTTTTAAAACTGTGCCTATTTTTTAATTACCACTTATAAATCTGGCTATTTTTGTATTTCACCCGCTTAGAGATGAGCTTAAAACGAGCCCCAGAGATGTCATAAAACAATGATAGGCACCAAAAGAATAATAAACGAATTACCAAATTACTTTAGGATTTCCTTTCCATATGCAAATATAGAATATCCATTATGTGTTACAAAAGTTTTGGAAATACAATCAGTTCCCTTCCCCCCAAGTCTCATTACCTTAATCTTTTCTTGAACAACTTACATAACTAGTGAACAATGGCAACTATAAAACCAAGTAACAATTACCACATTTCTCAAGACATAAAAAATAATCATGAATTCCTTCAAATTCTATCTCCCAATTCTTGTCCTTCTACAAATTCTAACTTCTTCGTTAGCTACAATTTACCAAGTAGAAGTTTCTAGTCAAATGGCTTTTCCTTTATCTATCCAATGCACAGCCCAAGGACACAACATTAGCAAAAGCAACGTCGGTACTGGTCTTGTTTTTACTTTCTCTATTGACACAAATGCTGCTAATCCAACTGCTTCTTGTCAAATGAGTTCTGGAACTTTGCATGGAAATTTTCTGTTGTTTGATCCTTCAAAAGACCAAAGCAGATGTGCCAATGCATCTTGCAAGTGGTCAATAGATGGGGATGGAATCTATCTTTTTACTAATGACGAAAATACTTTAATTTTTAAGTGGCCATTGATTGTTGTTTACACTTCACATGATTAAAAGAATAGTGGAACCATTTTATTAGTTTTTCCAATTGATCGAAATTATTTCTGCCCTTTACGGTACCTTTTTTTCCCCAATCAATCAGTATTCAAACGCTTTTCTTTTAAGTGGGTTTTACGCGCCTTTTAAGTACTTATTTTTCATGTTAAAATAAGAAAGGCAAATTTAAATAGAAAACAGCATTATACCTCATAATTTTCTTCAAATAATAAAGAATCAAAACGAGTTAGTAATAGATGCAAGGTTTAACTCAATTATGCAGTTGTCTAAGTCTCATAGTGGCGCCAAACTGTTTATCCATAAAATGGTACAATTGAATTTGTTACGTGGTTTATAGACAAGCGAATTGATTTGGCCCAAATCAATTAGATTAAAAATAAGACCTAGCGTTGAAATAAAATGAAATGGCAGGTCCGGCTCCGGGAGCGATGCTTCTGAGGACAGAAATAAGAACAATATTAAACAGAAACTAAAGTTGTATTATTTAGCTTGGGAATAGAGTATAGCATAAGTTTAGCTAGAGATTTCGTCTCTCTTACAATAGTAGTTGAAGCCACTATTTATAGTTACCCCTAGGGAACAAGATACTAGGATCAAGCCCATGTTAAATGACAATAAAGTGGGCCATTAATGAAGGTGTAACAGCAGACCATGAATACTAAAATTCTATGCAACGGCTGCCTATTTAATATTAGGGAATATTCTTCGCTAAATACCATCTACTAACAAACATTCGTTTTGCTCCTGTTGATTATGCTTCCTTCGGGATCTATCCGACACCAACTCCACTTATTGTCCCCGCTCTCGATTCTTACTCTATTCATCTTCCGTCTGTCTCCGGTTCCACGTGTCACGCAATTATTAGATCATTTAATATAAACAAATTTTACCCTATACAGGGGGGCGATTTGAATGTATTGGGAAAAATCAAGTTAACATATTGAATTAATTATGTGATGATATATCAAGACACGTGGATCAATAAAAGAGTGACAACTGGCAAAGGAGAGCTGAAGAGACACGAGATTTAATAGGCATGGGCGGAGATTCAAGAAAACAGTGAGGAACGGTTACTCGGATCTCCTGGTAATTTGAAGTAGCATCAGAGGAATGAACCTAGATAGCAAAAAGTATAGATACGTATTATCCGTAATTAATGAGCATCAATGATGGAAAACGTTATAGAATCTTCATGAAACAGTTACGATAACCAATTATAACGTTATATTAAATGTCATTAATTGCTCATAATGGCGCTATTATGAGAGGAAAGAAAATGTATTACTTAGAGATAGCTATAAAAGGAGAGATATAACATTTGTAAGGACTGACAATATTATTGAAATACACTGATTTATTTTACTTTCTTTTACTCAGCTATCGTTTATTTTAATTCTTCTTATTTGTTCCAAATTTGATTATCAGTAACCCGAGTCTTCTAAAAATTAATCTTTGACCCGAATTTCCTATTTTCAAGTTAAACAAATTGGTTCCGTTACCGGAAATCTGATAATCTATTACTTTCTAAATTGACTTTTTCGTCAAATCAATCATGTCGAATGTCAATGACAACAATCAAGGAGACAATCAACACCAGGAGAATCTGCAAGGCGATGGAACTCGGGTCCCTTCCCCACGAAATTCTCCTCGACAATCTCGAGAAGGAACTCCTGATGGATCTCGGTCAAATGTGAATGATCAGTTTGAAAATGATGAGGCTATTAATGAAGCTTTGAAAAAGTTAATCGCTCAACAGGTCAGCAATGCTCTTGAGGCCTTCGCTAACCAGCTGCCAGTTGTGCTGCCAACATCAACTCTAAACAACAACACCTTAGAAAATCCTCGCTCAGGACTCGTTAACTCTAGCAGTGGAGGAACTCCTAGCGAATCCCGTGATGGAAGGTCAGGTAACCTAGTTAATTCTGATTTACAAAATTTAGTACTAACTTTGCAGAAATAGCTCAAGGAGCAGAGCGACTGCATAGAGCAAATACCTGGGGTGCCACCTATAATCAAGGGAATAGATATGGACAAATACTCACAACAACCTTGGAAGCCAAGTGCTGCTCCTCTACCAATTCCGAAGAAATTCAAGATGTCTGATATTCCAAAATATGATGGAACAACTGATCCAAGGGATCACAATACTACATTCACAACCTGTGTAAAAGGAAACGACTTGACCAAGCAAGAAATTGAATTAGTACTGGTCAAAAAATTTGAAGAAACACTCACTAGGGAGCATTAACATGGTATTCTCTTTTACCCGAAAATTCTATAAATTCTTTTGCTGAACTTGCAGATTCATTCATCAAAGCACACTCGGGAGCTCAAAAAGTTGAGAAAAGAATGGAGGACATTTTCAAAATAAAGCAAGGAGATACGGAGCTGCTCAGGGAATTCGTAGACAGATTCCAGCGTGAGAGGATAATGTTGCCTCGTGTACCAGATAACTGGGCAGCTATGGCATTTGCCAATAATCTAAATGAAAAATGTTCAGAAGCCACGAGGAGACTCAAGGAAAGTCTACGAGAATTTCCAGCAACAACTTGGAATGATGTTTATAACAGATACAGCACGAAGCTACGGATAGAAGATGATACCATCATTCAATCTTGAAGGGATGAAAGGGTAAGTTCAAGGCGAGCTGAAACTGAAAAAAGGTCCAGAAAAAATAGGTACGAGCCATACATGGGACCAGCAGGAAGAGACTTACGTTCAAAATGGGAAAACCCAAGGTAAGATCATAGATCAAGAGATAGAGAGTCAGGTTCATCATCAAGGTTCGGAAAAGAACGAAATACACGAGAGATGCGGGATGATGACAAAAGCTTGAAGGCAAAGATCGGCGGTTATAGTTTTAATGTTAGCACATCCGAGTTGATGGCCGTTTTAAGGAGCATGGAAGACAAGGTACGCTGGCCAAAAGAAATGAGATCAAACCCGAACAGGCGAAATCCTGATTTTTGGTGCAAATTTCAAAATGATCACGGTCACAAAATGGCGGATTGTAGATTGCTGCAAGGTGAAGTAGAACATTTATTGAAACAAGGATATTTAACTAAATTATTTAGTGAAAAGGGAAAGCAGGCATATATGAAAAATAGGTCGGAGCCCCCAAAACCCCCTTCACCAAAAAGGACGGTTAATGTCATAAATGGAGGAGAAGAGATCAATGGCGTAACATATACGGCAGCGAGGAAGGTGTCAAAAATAACAGTTACACACGGGAAGCGAGTGCGACAGGTTTTGGAAGAAGATAGTATTACATTTGATGATGCAGATGCAGATGGCGTGCTAACCCCACATAATGATGCACTGGTAATATCTTTACTTGTACGTGACACTAATGTGAAACGAGTTTTGATTGATCCAGGTAGTTCCGTGAATATCATTCTGTTAAGAGTGGTAAATGAGATGCAAGCCGATGATAAGCTGATACCCAAGGCTGATACATTGTCCGGTTTTGACTACTCGATCGTCGTAACAAAAGGCAAGATAATACTCACTACATTCGCTGAAGGAGTAGTCAAAGACACCAAATTTCAAGTGGTAGAAATAGATATGGCTTATAACATGATTCTTGGTAAACCATGGATTCATGAGATGGATGCTGTTTCATCTACTTTGCATCAAGTTATCAAGTTCCCTTCACAATGGGGAATACGGCAAATCCGTGGTGACCAACAAGCGTCTCAGAATATTAATTCCATAGCAGATTCAAGCGCAATAAACGAAGAAAAGTAGCAATTACAGAATCCAGTTGAGGATGCTGCAACACAAGCCTCAACTATGGATGAGCGAACAGATGTAGACTCGAGGCCTGATACCATCCAAGAACCAGAGGAAAATGAGAATATTAAAACAACGATCGAAGGATTGGAGGCTGTGGAGCTATTTGAACATTGGCCAGACAGAAAAGTCTACATTGGAATCAACCTCAGCTCGAAAATGAAATGTAAGTTGATTGAATTTTTAAAAGCTAACGCAGATTATTTTTCTTGGTCCCATTCAGATATGACAGGTATACCACCGGAGGTAATGACCCACAAGTTAAATGAAGATCCATCATACACGCCTGTCAAGCAAAAGAAAAGAAAGCAAGGATCTTTCAAAAATCAGGTGATTCAAGATGAGGTGCAAAAACTTTTAAAAACTGGGTCCATCCGCGAGGTAAAGTATCCGAATTAGTTAGCTAATACTATTGTAGTACCTAAAAAGAATGGTAAGTGGCGAGTTTGTGTAGATTATACTGATACTAAATAAGTTTGTACCTAAAGTATTTGTTTTACGATTACCGCATATAGATACTAACTAATTGATGACTACGTGACAGGACTATAGTAAATTTATTAACGT